GAGAAAATTTATTTAATTTGTAAATTAGTATTGAGATGTCAAGGCATGAAGCTGAAGGAGTCTTTCATTACATTGTAAAGTAGAGTGGACAATAAAAAATGTGGCTGAGGGAAGGCAGCATTACCGTTGAGTACCAGAGTAATATTCTGTAGTATTGAGTTCCAGAATACTTTTTAAACTCAAAAACTAGTTAGATACATGCATACAGGACAATGACTGCTGCTACAATATTACAGGAAGTGCTAACAGATAGATTTTAAATTTCAAACAGTCCCGTGGGGCCTTTTCAGTAACATTTCCATGTATCATGAACAATCCTGAATGAAGCAGCATACTTTCCTGACCAAGGACCAATGTGTAAAGAGCCCTTAAGAAGATCTGGTCTAGCCAGGCTGAGCCAAGACCTTGAGGGGTTTCATCTTCACAGGCACCATGAGCAAACAGGCTCATAAGCCACTCTTCTGTTCTTACCAGCCTCAAACAGAACTGAGGGAACAGTCAGTTGTTTTCTAGGCAGCGGTCAGTAAAATAATCTTGTGTTATTAATATTGATCTTGAGTTTTCTAAGCCAGGCTGAAGGGCATTTATCCTGGCACTGCTACCCAGTACTGATATCCAGTACCTCCCTGGAAGCAGTTGCTTTGCTGTCCTTTGCTTATCTGCTATTTTACATTTTCATGGTTGCTTTCTTGCAAGAACCAACCATACTCTGGCTCCTGGCATCTTTTTTACAGGGACACAGAAGTTCCTTTGAAAATATCCTGAGGTTTTATTTATATCTAGTACAACAAGGTGTTTTGTTCCTCTTTGTCACGCATATATATTTTCCTTCCATTTATATATGCCACAACTTTCATTAAAGGCTGTGGAATAAGTCAGGTTAAGATTCCCACCTGGTTATAAGTTCAGAATTTTGGGAGAGTGGAATGTCATGCCTTAGCAAAACCAACTGATTGAAATAGAAGAGCAGCTCCAGAGGACAGAAAGCAATGAAAAATAACAGTACATAATCTTGCCTTCTTTGGATAGATGCCAGCAGTCATAGGTGAACCTAAATACCTTAAGACACCTGGGAATATTGGGGAATCTTTTAATGTAGCAGAAATGGAAAATCAGTGTGTGCTGTCAGATGCCCTGGATAGCTTCTGAGGACTTGTTATAGGACACCTGCTCAGTTGAGGACCCCAAAGTGCCAGGGGAGACTGGAGAGTGCCCTGGACGGCACTCAAAGGACAAGGAAATCCATTTGGTCTCCTACATAACTCTGCCCTGATGAGAGTCTTTCCTTGAGAAGCAAGCCCTGAGATTTTTTTTCTCCCCAGTGTCAGTCTGATGACTTATCCAGAAGCGTTCCTCTGATCAAATTTGTCGGCTTAGTCAGGACATTTTCTGCAGTATTCACCAGAGATGAAGTTTGTCATGTAGGATTTGTCTGTAATAAAATAATTTTAGTAAAACCTAAATGTGGGCTTATACATACCCTTGGTCTTCTTTTAGGAACTTTTTTTTTACAATAAAAAAAACCTGTAAAAATTATGATCAAGTGAAAAGTTGAATGTCCTCAATTATACATTATTGCATTTTATGAGTAAACTTCCACAGTGTAATGGTGGAAAGTACTTTCAAATAGGTCTACATTTTAGTGCCTCATCAGAAATGTAGAAATATTTCAACCAAAGAAGATGTCTGGTATAAAATTAAATAGATTATTATTAAGTTATTTTTAACGAAGTAATTTTACTAAGCTATTATAGACAGTATTTTTTTCCAGGGTTATATCACAGCAACAAAGAAATCCTAATACATTTAACACTCTGGAAGTTCAGTTTAGTTTCAGTCATAGAATAATCAAATACAAGTAAACATAAAATTTGAACTTGCTTTCATGAGAAACTCTGAAAACTCCAGAAATGCCATCAAAATACGTTTTACAGTAATACAAAAAGTTTGTTAAGACACAAATCCAGCTGCATGTGTATATGAGAAACCATATTCTACAGTGATGACTCTCATTGATTCTGCTGGGATGCAGATCACTGCTGAAATCCATCCTAAACACACCTATTTAAGGCTTAAGATCCCAGCATTTGAAATCCTAAAGAACCCATTTTGAAGAAATGTGATCTTCTATTCTGCATCAGGTCACTTTAAAAGGAAGGTCTCATATTGGGAATGACAAATTGAGGCAAACAAAATTAGGAGGTCCTGTTTGAAATTTGAATTCAAACCCTTACTGTAAAAAATTAGATTTTACATTTGAACATTTAAATAATAAGTTTAGATATAAAGTTGGCATATCAATTTCTGACACTAAGGTTACTAATACGGAAATAATATAACTAAACCTTCTGTGATTCTTTCCTTAGTACTTTTCTGAGTACTGCAGAGAACTGCAACAACCACAGATTTCAATCAGTAGAAAGAAAAATAACTCTTTAAAGATTGAACTGGTTACCAAAGAGAGACTGGTTGTATTGAATCAAAATAACAGTGAAAGAAGAGAAAATTGTAATTAATTCTAGATGGATATGTACAGAAAAGTACAGAAAGGGACAAAAATGTAGGCCAAGTTTTTCTAGCATTGTACTGCTTTTTGGTTTTAAGGGAAAACATGATGTTCTCTTCAGACATTTCTGTTTTATTTACCCCTTATTGAGGAATTAACTTATTCTAGTCCTCAACCAGTCAATTCTTGTGTGATGACTTCACAGAATTACTCATATGAGAGAGACTTCATTCCCTTAATAATTTCCGTGGTCCTTTGCTGGCATCTCACTAATAACTCTGTATTCCTATTGTACAGGGCAGCCCTGGACTGGACAGAGCCCCCCAGAGATGGCCTCACCAGTGCTGAGCAGAGTGGCAGGACCATCTTCTGTGACACCATTAGCCTTCTTGACACAAGGATGCACTGCTGGCTCATATTCAATTTGAAGTCTACCAGAACTCCCAGGTTTTCTGGGAGTGTAGAGCTGCTTTCCAGCTGGGTTACCTCCTGCATGTATTGAGGCACGGGGGAGCTGTTCCCAGGTGCAGGACTGCTCTTGATGAACAGCATGATGTTCTGGTCAGTCCATTTCTCCAGCCAGTCAAAGTTCCACTGGACAGCAGCACAACCCTCTGGTGTACTACCCACTTCTTCCTATTTTGTCCTCTGCAGCTTGCTGAGGGTGTGCTCTGCCCCAGAATCCAGGTCACTAATGAAGATGATGAACAGGATAGGATGCAGGTTTGTTCTCTGGGATATACCACTAGCTACTTGCCTTCAGGTAGACTTTGTGCCACAAATCACAGCACTATGAGCTTGCTCTTCAAGTCAGTTTTAAATCCACCTCACAGTTTGTTAAGGATACTATTACTGACAGAAGCCTTGGCCTGAAATAAGGTGCAAATGGGACCATATGGACTTTATTTAACAACAAACAGATTTTATTTAACAATAAAATGAGAGGCAGAAGGAGAGGGAGAGAGCAAGTGAGAAGAAAGCGAGAGAGAGCAGAAGATAGTCACCACCCATGGATCCAGAAGTGTCCTTTTGGTCCTTCTTAACCCAGGGTTCTTGGTGGTAGGGTTCTGAGGTCATTCAAAGCTTTTCACTATTTATACATTTTTGTAAGCAAAGGAACTAATAGTCATTGGTTACATAGTTCTCTTATTCTAAAGCTTAAAGGATTCCCTCACTTCTAATGCTAATTAGTCCCATGCTCAGTCTTCCTCTGGGTTGAGAGTTGGTGGCTGCAACCTCTGCCTGCCAGAATTAACTTTTACCCAGCCTGAGCTGGCTTCAGCACAGTAGGTGAGTTGGCTTTCCTTGTGGCCCATAGATTCAGCCATTATCACTGATACATTCTTCTTCCCCAGCTTTGTTAACTTCCCTCTAGGCCTGAGATAACACTCAGACAACATCTTATCTTGTCTCATGTATTCTTCATAGTATCTTAATTCACAGCCCAGGTTTCAGGTATCCACAGAGGCATTGGTTGCAGATGCCAGTTGTCCCATAACCTGCTGATCAGGATCTTTGTTTGACCAGTGCAAGCATACGAGCAGCAGATTCTTTACACACTTTGTCACAGTGTGAATTTTTGTCTGATTACCCAGGATGTGATAGCTAGATCTTGCAGGCTTGGAGTTAGGTCATTCTGTCACTCCATTCTGTGCTTATTTCATGGAAAAGTCTTTTTTTTTGGTAACTGTGTTTGTGATGGAAAACTGTGATCTTTAAGTCCTTATACTAGTCCTGTCTGCCTTAGAACTTTCAGGTAAATAAAAGGCATCTCTAAGGATAGCTTTGGATTGCTCTTGGTCCATATGCGGAGCAATCCAAAGCATCTTTCCTCACAGCCTCTGCCTGGGTATGGAGCTGAACATCAGCAGATGGTCTTGATGTCCTATCTTTTTTTTCTGTTCATCTGTGACCTAGAATTCCCCAAGGAGAGTGTGCATCTCATAATGTTGTCAGGATAGCAAAGAACAAAAGATCCTGAAAACACATCCAAAAAGCAACACTACACACCTTGAAGACAGTTACTTGTCAGATGATAGCTACAATAGATAATCTTACTCCCAGACTTTCATGTTATCAGCAATGATTTTCTCTAAAAATGACAAAACACACTGGTTCTTCCTTCTTTTCCATCTCAGTATCACTAAGTGAGGCAGTTGACATGTGATAAAAACACGAGGTGTATATGCAGAATACTGGGAAAAGCTTCACTTGGATCTGAGCTTCTGTAGGCAGGCACAAGCCATGAAAGACTCTGTTGTGCTTCACAGCAGCTGCTCCCTGAGCAGCTATTTTTTGGGATTTTTTTTTAGAATTGTCTCATGAGAGAAGCAAGATGACTGAACCTTTGGCAGGTAGGGGAGCTACAAACATACCCACTGGTTGACAAAAAACTCACACACTTCTGAGTAGGCATGAAGGTCCTTTTCCTGTAAAAGTGATACCCAAGATTTGTCCTGGATTTCTGCTGTCTTCAACAGCTAAATGGTCTTGACTAACAGCACCAGTACTGAGAATTATCAGAATATGTTAAGAACCAGACCATGCCCCCGGATGATTTCTGACAAAAGATGCCTGGAAAGTAATGAAACAAATAAAAGGCTGCTAATATATAAAAAAGTTAATCCCAGTAGTGAAAAAATCAGCAAACCTTTGATGCTCCCCAAGCAGAAACATAAGGGATACCACAGAAGACAATGAATGAAAGAAAATAGCTCCACCAAGCAAAATCTAGTGAAATGACTGAAAAATATTAAAAACAACTCAAATTTTATTGTAAACATTTTAATACTATGGTAATTAATAAATACAAGCTTGCTGATCAGGATCAATTTAACCAGAAAATAGCCTACAAAGGACCTGCTCTTGCTCAAAGAGATATTGACAGCATTTTACAGCAGACTTCAAGAAAAACCAAATTTAAGCCTTTAAACTGTTTCTGCTTTTTTACTAAAGTATGTAGCTCAAAAAACCCCAATATATGACAAAAAATGTGCATCTCCACTCTATGCTTCTTAGGTGTTTTCCTCTTATGGAGGATTGATCCATATCAATCCATATTGATCCAAAGAGTTAGATTGATCCATATCAATCCATATTGATCCAAAGAGTTGGAGTAGTCTTCATAATGTACATTTTTGATAATTTAAGCATAATCTTCCTGTGGAATTAATAACAATCCATATAAAATAAAACAATATTGCTCAAGAAACAGTTTAGGCCTTGAAGAAAGGTAGAGTTAAACAATTAGAAATGTCCTGCAAAATTGTGAGTCCTACTAACTTTAGAAAAATGTCTCTCTCAGTCATCAATTCTTGTTGAAAATGTACAAAAGAAGCCAATATTAGATTGTATTTTTACTCTTCTTTGTGACCCTTTTTCAAATAAAGCCATGGTAACATGCTATTAAAAATGATGTAACTTTTTCTTATATAACTAGTTAGCTTCTATATTACATTTCTTATGTATTAATATATTTTTGAATATTTACTGAAGGATATTGCTTTACCAGACATCCTGGTTAAAAAAATTTAAATAATATTATTACAGGAATTTTAGACTATATCACTTAAAGTAATTTTTCATGACATTTTTTTATTTTAGGTTTTTTGAGATCAAAATGTAGGAGCAATTTTGTCTTAACAGGGAGTTTGTCTCTCCCTTTTCTGACATATGAACTGTAATTTCAGAAGTTTAGAGAGGCAAACAAAAATTGCTGTTAGAATGGCAGTCCTGGCATATATGAGAGAACTGTTTAAATTTGTGGATAATATTTTAGCATACACACCCACACATCTGCATGTAGCCAAACAGGAGCCTATGACTTATACCCCCTAGTTTCTAAAATACTTCCACCAAATGTTTTATTACAGCCTTAAAGCTTTTAAAACATTATGCTTAATGTCACTAATAATAGAGCTAGTCACTTTTAGGAAGAGACAAAGTAACTGGATGTGGATTATTCTTGTTACAAAAATGTATTTTTGGCAAAGCCACGAGTATATGGTGATAGTGAATTTCAGTTCTTACATCTCTTTAAATTTGCACATATTAAAAAAGACAACAGATTATTTAGTCTGATCAGTGTAGTTATTGTAATTTTTAATTCTACTCATATGTTTTTGAAAAGATTGTTTTATGCAGCCTGTTAGAAAATGAAATATTTGTAGTTGATTTACTGCTGATTTTCAGATTAAGTGAAAGTTTCTTTTCCTGATCTCTTCATAGCCTGTAAGAGGCTGACCATGCTGGAGCTGCTCCAGTAAAGGAATATAAGATCATTCTTAATAAAACTCTGATTTCATTCCATCACATTTGGCAGATGGCACCTTCCACAACATATTTCTCCTTGTTCTCTGCTAGAACAGGGGAGTACAACACCTACTGAAAAACCACAGGTCTCCCACACAAATTCTGATACTAGAAGGACAATATACCTACACTCACATGCTTTTCTAGATGAAAGTACAGTGTACTTTGAAGAGTCATGCCACTAGAAATAAAAACTTCCTTGTACCTCCCTGAAAAGTGAAGCCCTAAACTACTGTGTGCCATTCTTCAGAACCTGATTCCTACATTCATTTCTAGTATCTTGTACTATAATTTAATAGATGCTCTTCCACTTGAAAATACTGTGTAAATAGCAAATCTGGAATAATTGTTGAACTGGCTGCAGTTTGGTACTGTAACTCATCAATTTGTATTTAGAGTAACTATAAAGTGCTTTAGAATAGTTTCACAAGAAAGGTGCAAATAAATACTGTGCCCTCTTATGTCATGTCCCATGAGACATAAAGTCCTGGAGAACCCACATTTAAAAGTATCCTCAATTTTTAGAGCAATTTAATAATGATACTGATTTCTTATACTGCAGAATGCTTTTGTCTCCAGTATTTATTTGGGTCAGTGTTTCACAGCATCATAGCCAACAGGCCTGCTGCTTGCCCTCCATTAGTCTTGCAGGGTCCAAACACACTCACCTGAATGGGTAAAAAAGGTATGGTGCTACACTGGGAATCTGCACAAAAATGGTCCTGTTATTGTGCAGAACTTGTGGTTGTTAGTTGATTCCTTTTGAATAATATTTGCTGAAAAGATGAACTGGCAGCACACTGCAGTGTAATTTTTCTTTTTGGTTAATAGGCTCAAAATATCACAGTGGAATGCTGACAGGTCTATAAGTTGTCAAAATTTTCCAGGATTTGGATCATGGCACTGAAATAGCTCTGATGAATGTCTATGCAATGTATGTACAGCACTTCTCCTGCTCCCAAAAGATCTGAGTAAAAATGGTAAGCATGTTTATTGCTTTTATGTATGAGGAATTGAAGCACCAATGAGTGAGTGAAGTGTGTCAACACAGAGTCAAACCCCTAAATGACTCTATAGATTACATTCTTTTGTAGTACACAGACCTCCCTGAAAACTGGGAGTACTTCTACAGAGTAATCATTTTATAAATTAGGGGTAAATTCTTTTCCCATCAAAATTTCCCAAAGGCAAAACTCCCACTGAATGAAGTATGATGTGGATTTCACATTACATTTGTAACCAAACTCAAGCACTTTGTCACATATAGGAGAAGTAACGAACAGCTTCACAGCATGCTTGACGCAGTCTATTCCAATTCTGAATGATAAAAATGCAATATCAAACATTTTAACCTTTTTTCAATATTTTTCTATTCACAATTTTTCTGTTCACATGACTCTCATTTTCCTTAACTGTTATTTCTACAGCCTAAAGAGGGAAAAAGAAATAACAAAGGAAACAGAAAACAACAAATCCTATTATCCAGTTGATTGAATAGATGTAGATGATCACCAAGTCCATATCAAACCGCCATCCACGGCTATCATCCTCGAAGTCCATGAAGTCCATCCTGTGAGCAGCATGTGGGAAATGCCTCCTGGTCACAGTATTTGAGCGCCTTCGAAAACCTGCTGAAAAACAGACAAGGAGTTAAAAATCTTTTTAAAAGGAACCAGATTGACTAGCAAAAAAAGTTAACACTCCTTCCTCCAGTTATCAAAAAGACAAACAGAAGCAGGAAATCTCACACCTCACTGCTAAGTTTCATCACTTTGTTGGACAAGAAGCTATCTTTGGAATTGATTTTGAAGGATTTAAAAAGTAACACTGTGTTCCTTAAAAAGTAGCTCTGTGTTCCATGTCTAGAAAATAATATGTTTGTTTGTTTGGATATGAAATTCTCTATAATAAAGTAATAATATCTGCTTAAGTTTCCAGATTTATCAACACCTCTCTTTTGGTGCCTTCTTTCACAGAGTTTGACTCAGTGATCTAGAAGTGAAAGGCTCCATATACTGTAATCAATCTCTTCAGTAATTGGTTAAAATGGGTTCCCTAAGATGGGTTCTACTCATCTGAATTCTTCAGTAATCAAAAATATCCAGATCTGTACATACATAGTTCAACAGCTGATACACATTTGAATTCCTTTTTACTAGAGTCTGAGATTATTTTTCAAAGATAAATTAAAATAAATAAATCTTCTAAATGAATTGTGCTTGCTTAAATATAATGTTCATTATGTTTAATATAATGCATACCAGGTGAAAATTCAACTTTTAAATCACTGTTCGTACGCTGATAACACCTTAAAAATATATAGGCAGATGCAAACAAGTCAAGTGGAAGTAAAAATCCTGTGTCTCCAAGATGGCCTGAGTGTGGGGTCCTCGTCATTGTCCACCAGACTTCTCCATGTAGCAAGTGAGGTACTGTGGAAGTAGACCTCTTCCCTGTGTCAAGACATGAGTTTGGAGAAGAGTCTGTGCAGCTGTGTCAAACAGTAGGCTGTGGCACAAAAAAGAGCCTGGGAGCTGTGGTGCAAAGGCAGAAAATCTGTCCAATTCTGATAAAGGACAGTTGTACTCTGGATTTTTCCTCTGTTTTCATGTAATGAGAAATTTTTATGATGCATTCTGTATTCTTTAATAATTTCTGACAGAAAAATACCTTTTGTATTTCCAGCTAGAGTGTAAACCACATTTCTTAACCATGTGCAGATAAAAGCTGAGAGCTATAGAGCTCCTCAAAAACTGAACAGCAACATAGAGTAGAGGTTTGAATTATGAAATAGAAGACCTGAGGGAGCACCAAACACCTTTTAATGTATTTTTCTACTTCTTAAAAAAAATCCTATCATACATGATTTCAATCCCTAATATAGTCCCCAAATAATTAATGCATGGGCATGTATTTGTGCAAAAGTATATTTTATTTAACTTTCTTGCATATGCCTGTGTTGCTATACTCTGAACAAGAACTTCTACTGAAATCACATGAATATGCATGCACAGTGCTGGCAGAATCTGGCAGACTGTTAGTGGGAACCTGTTACTAGATAACAAAAACAACGTTGTGTGCAAATCACACTTTTATATGCACCAAAGTGTGCAAACCAAAAAGGTTTTCAGTAAGCATCAGTAGGCACATCTGTTGCACTTTGCAACCTTCTGATGAAGTACTAGCAAAGCACAAAATAAAACTACAAAAAAATTAAAATATCCTCCCAATTTTATAAATTGACCTACTTTTTTTAAACTCAAAAATAAAAGGTACCAGATAGAAAATTTTACTCTAAAAATGTTCCTAAATGAATAATATGCAAGTTACAATAACCATTTACATTAAAAGTGCTCATGTAAAATTAAATTATGTATGAACAAGTGTTCTAAGGTTATCAGATATACCAAAGTACATAATTTTGGCACAGCCTCTTCTTTCTGCATGGATGAGAAGAGCTATTGAAAGACTGTGAGAAAAAATGCAAGTACAGACTGAGACCTTCCCATATGTGCCCTTGCAGCACCTGGCAGCTTGGTGAGCTAGATCTTTGGAAGTTTTTTCCAGAACAATGTGTTAAAACAGCATTGCATGTGTCTCTGCATGCTTGTGAACCAGATCTCACACTGACTCCATTTACTGCACTTTATATCCCTTGGTGGAGCAGTTTTGGAGTAAATAAATTGTTTTCCTTTCAGGTAAAAGTAGAAACAGAAGATGAGCTCTAAGAGCTCAGAAGTGTTCCAGTAATATGCTTCAACCACTAATGGGCATTTAGCCCTTGGGACTGCAAGTTGCCTCACATGCAAATGTGGACATCTGACCTCACAGCATCAATTTTTGTGCTCTATTATAGCTGATATAATTGCTAATGCAAGAATGCCTGTGAGAGACGGGGAATAATCTTTCCTACAACATCTTTATGCCATTCATAATTTTACAGATCTCTAGTATCTGTTTTCTTTAATATGCTTTCCAAACAAAAGAACTTGTGAATTTCCTTTGTATGGAAAAAGCTTCAAAACTTCAGACTATCCTTTCCACATTATTCCACCCTCCTTTATTTTTCTCTGAGATGTAATCTAAAATTATGTGCAAAATTTGAGTTGTGGGATCACCACAAATCCAGACAATGACAAAACATTTTGTTATTATTCCTGCTTACCTTTTTACTGTGGCTGTGCATGAAATGTTTTCAAAAAATTAATCCCAGTACTATCCAAATGTCTTTTTTTAAATGGCAATAGCTGATTTACAGCACACTACAGTGAATATTATGCATTATGGAGATGACTAATGCCTCTGTGTACACCTGACTGTCCTCATAGTGAAAGGGTTTTACTTGCAATCTGAACTTTTCATATGCCTTAATGCTCATCCTCTTGCCACACACCACTGTGAACAGGTGGTCTGTCCTCTTGGTGGTCTCCTTACAGGTAGGATAAGGCTGACTGGAGATCCTCCCGAAAGCGTACCCTTTCCTTTCTGAAGAAGCCAGTTCTTTCAGCCTCTCCTTCCAGGTCAGGTTCTCCAGGCCTCTGAGCATCCCAGCTAAACCTGGGTCGCTCTGCTAAACCTGCTCCAGTCTACTGCTGTCTTCCCTGTACAAGGAAGGAAGGCAAAACTGCAGGATTTTAGATGTGGTGTCTTGAGCAGTAGGGGATACAAGCTTCATCTACAGGTTTTCATACATCATACTGGATGTATGAAAATCATCGTACAGCCAGGATGCTGCTGGCTTTCTTCACTGCCAGGGCATAATTCCAGCTCAACCACAGCTTGCTCTCCACCAGGATGCCCAGGCTCTTTCCAGAGATCTGTCCTCAGGCTTTCAGTGCACAACCTGTCTCATTGCCAAAGGCTCTTCCTTCCCAGGTGCCGGTCTCAGCATTTGTCTTTTTGAATTTCAGAGTCCTTCCCAAACATTTTTACAGCTTGTCAATGTATCTCTGAATGGTAGCCCTGTGCTGAGTCTATCAATCTGTCCTTAACTTTGCTGTTCTCTGCAGGCCTGATGAAAATGTGTTCTGATGCTATCTCTAGGTCACAGATCAAAACTTGACAACTATTAGTTGTCAAGTTCATATTTACTATCATTAGTGAAGTGAATAATTTAATATCACTATAAATTTTACCAGCAGTATATGTATCACTTTACACAGACCACTGTGTCATTCTGACAAGGTCTCAGTTTGACTTGCTACGTGCTCTTTTACACTGTACTTCCCATCTCCTACTTGGGTCTGTTTTTCTTTTTTAGGCGCCTGGCAAAAGGGTCTTTGTCTGATGCAGCACCTGCATTTCTCCAACTTCTTGTCCTTTCTGAATAGCAGCCCCACCACTGAGTCTACCAATTTGTTGTCACCTGCAGACTTGATGACAGCATGGAGGAAAAGAACAAAATTTCCAAGTATTCTATAATTTTTCAAGTATACAGGCGTTTTTATGTTGCTTTCATGCTTTGACAAACAAGGTATCATCCCAAACTTCTTGCATAAATGCCAGCTTTCTCCCATACGCACATCAGAGGCATTATATTCTGATTATGCTAACATAATAGCTAAATTGCGAGATTTGCTAGTTAAGATGAGCTGTGAGATTTGTATTTCCAAGAAAGAAAAATCATATATTGCTGCAAAGGTTTATGAGAGAGCAGCACTTATTCTGTGTGAATGACTGCAAGCATGTCACATTAACTTCTCATTTCATGCCCCAAACTTTTAGTCTCAAGCTCTCCACTGAGACTCAAGTTCCGAAAATATCCAGTTCCTTCCCCAAACTAAGGCCATTTAATGAAACCACCATCCTTCTCAGATCCAGAGGTCTACTTCTTCTGCATGAAAAGCTTGAACCTCACCACCCTCTTGCCTCATATTTCAGCTCCACAGACCTGTTGTCTCAGAAGTCTTTTTATCTAGAGAGAGACATATCAAATTACAAACTTTTCTTTCTCCAGGATGCATACCAGAACCTTCAGTTTCCTATGTTAAAACTTCTATTGTCATCTTCCAAGGCCTTTTCCACAGCAAAATCATCTTTCTAAACCTCCCTCACTATCCTGCTCTTACCTTCCTCGCACTTTCTCTCTGCTTTCCTTGCATATTTCACTCCTCTTGCCCTTCTGATATTATCTGTGGTCTCTTGCTGGCTGCCAGCACCTTATACCCATGACTAAACTTACACGATAGCTTAAACATCTCCCCTTTTCTTTTCCATCCCCAAAATCCAAGTCCTACTTTCCGACAGCTGTTGGGCTCTAGAAAACCTGTATGTAAAAAGTACTTAAGGTGTAAAAATGTACTTTCCTTTCCTGAAACCATTTTTACTTCCACTATGTTGTCTGTCTTACCAGTTATAGACTTTTTCTGGGCTTTTGGTTTAAGTGTTAAATTCTATTGCAGTCTCAGAGAGGTAAATTGTGTTTAAGCAGTAATTTGTGCATGCTTAAAATATGATTTATTGAACTCACTGTGCATATGATTCTGACGGCCTCTGCACATTAATAAATCAGTTGCACACAGCAATTTAATGAGAAACACGCAGAAACTGCTTTTTAAAGGTGTCAAAGACCCCTATCTGAAAGAGTCTACATAAGCAATCAGTTACTGTGAAAATCTGAAAATGTCCTGAA